TCTGCAACACCAACAAAGAAAAATGTTCCACAGAAATTCAGGTCTGGCAGAACCTGTCTGATAAATGTGGGACTAACTCAGAGAAACACAGAAAAGGAAAAGAAGTCCAGGTGAGAGATTTTTTTTTTTTAATAGGATGAATGTTTAAAATCAGCCAGGACAGAAACTACACTCAGCTGCCTCCACTGGTAGAGTCCTCAGTTGAAGGGTTAGACTGTACTGAGCTGCTCTGAAAAAGACAGAGGGCTGTTGGCATTTTTTCTTTCAAAACAGTTTCTCAGCTTCTACATCATGCACCTAAATGCTACAACCCCAGGATAAAAGGAGAGAATTTTTAGCAGAGGTCCCTCCATTTCTCCATGGCTTCCAGAAGCACTGCCTTTGCCCCAGCACCATGGTTTGGCTGTCTGTCTCTAATGCTGCTGGCACTGTTCTACTGGAATGGCAGGACAGGCTGATCCAGAAAAAGGAACAGGTTTCCATCAGCACAGTGTGCACTTTGCAGCATTACCTGTCTGCACAGATCTGTCACGTTTACTGGGGTGGTCCTCAGCTTCCACATGAAACTTTTCATTTTTAACATGCATTATGACTAATTTTTTATAAATTTTGGGGCAGGGGAGAAGTGGGACAATTTCCTGCTTGGTTCTCAGCATCCTGGCTAGCTGCACCACAGTGACTGGGTTTGCTGCTGTAAACTGCTACAGGGCATCACTCTGCACCTCTGGGATCTGCTCAGGGCCACTCCTCAGCCCACAGTGTTTTCACATTCTGGTACATCTGCATGAATCTCTTTGCTGGGTGCAGAACTACACAGATCAAGGGAGGCCAATGTTATTCACAAGTCCATCAGCACAAATACCAGCCACAGAGGCAACATCCAGAGTGCTTCTCCCTCACCTGCAACACCTCGATGTTTGAGACACACCACAAAGGCAGCAAAGAATTATGCACCCTGAAGTCATTTTAACCAAGCTACAGCTATCAATACCTCACATCTAAAGCAAATAAGCACACTGGAGAGAAACCTGCCGGTTCCAAACCCTTCTCTTTGTCTGATTCCAAGCCCTGAGCTGTTTGGTTTGTGCATTATGGGCTTTTACCTTTGGACTCGTTTTTGTCCTCATCTGTTTCAGCTTCAAGTTTGAGGCCATGTGGTTTCAGGCTGTTGGCAAGAAGCAGCTCCTTGCTTATTGTCAGTTGATTTTAATCCCCTTTCCTAAGGGCATCTGCCCCAGCGTGGCTCCCAGCCACACCACCTCGGGCTATTCTCTCCCCATCCAGGCAGTGCCAGGTTCCTCTGGCTCATGAATGGGAATCTTCCCTCCTCACCCAAGCCTGCCCCCATCCCACAACAGGAAAGCTGAGGCTGTTGAAAGAAACAGCAATGGCAACAAAGCTGGCATTGTTGTCCTGAAAAACCCCTGGCTGCAGCCCACCCCGCTCCGCTCGGGATAACGGATACACAGATGAATCCCAGCTTTTGTTTCCAAAAACTTATTTGACTTTTTCTTTGGAGAAGGACTTAAAAATGGTAACAAAGTCACTGCTGTAGGCAAAGAGTGAAGTAGGAGGGGGGGAAGTGTATTTTTCTCCAAGTCGGTTGTTCAGGGTGGTCTTTGGGGTGTGAATCCCAGATCAGCCTCACACTGGAGCAGTTCATGGAGGTGGAGCAGGAGAGAGGCACCAGTCAGGATCCTGGTGGCAAAAGTAGGGCACTTTTAGGCTTTTACTGATGGACTTGCCCTGCAATGCTGAGGAAAGATGCGAGTCAGAAATGCTCAGTGTTCATATTATCTTTATAATATGAAGACCTCAGGCTGGTACATTTTAAGACTTCAGTGACCACTGTGATCTATGGGTCTTCTCTTCTATCTAGGTCAGGACCCCACCCAGCAAACCCTGAATAAAATCCAACAAACCCTGGTTACGCTCCAGTGTGCTGTTTTAGAAGACATCCGCTGCTGACCCAGCTGACTGAAGGAACAAGGCTTGCTGAGGGTCCTGTCTTGTGTGGGAAGAAGTTTATGATTTGCAGCCTCAATACACTTTCACTAGGCTCCCTGCCTGTTATCTTTTTGTAACAGCAAGACTCTTCTCCTGGATCCTTTGGAGAAAAAATTGTATCTAAGTACAGATGGAACATCCATTTGTGTCCATGGACCAAAACTATCAGTACAGACTTGGATTTAAATACAAAAGTCATGTCCCTCACCCCATCATCAAGCAACAACTCCACAGGTTAAACCTGAAGATGAACTTCCATCCTGCAACTTTCATAGGACCTATTTCATCCTAATGGACCTATTTAATGGTGCCTCCATGTTTTCACAGTGCAGCTGTCCGGAATAGTGTTTTTTGCAGTCAGTCCAAATGACATTAGTGGCAGATTAGGAATCTGACACATCAATTAGTAATCCATTCACTTTTTCCAAAGTCCACATCAGAAACTATCTGTGAATGCCAAATTGGGCTTGTGATCTCCACAGACATTTGTTAGTCTTAAGGAAAGAATAATAAATCTCAGCTTTTCTACACTCATAAGGAAATCAGACTTCAATAAAGCTCAAAATTATGGCTTTCCAAAATTTCTATTTTTGCCAATATGGATATAAGTTTTGATAGGATTTTATTTTAAATTAAGAAACTTGCACCTAGTTTTCCTTGGTTTTCATTTTTAAAGCTCATGTCAACTTCTTTGTGTTCATGTCTGCAATGGGTTTCCTTACATTTCACTCAAAAACTCTAAAGTCTGCAAAGAATTCTTCTATTTGCACAAGATGTGCTGAAACAGGACTGCTCAGAGCATCTTACTGCAGGTCAACACCAGAAGAAGGCCTGACACCTGTAAGGTGGAAATGGTCAATGAAAAGATTGCTGTTGGCCTCCAGAAGACACCAGAGAGCTGGTCAGAGGTTGAAATGAGCAGCCAGGCCACTGGTGGGTGACAGAGGGATGATTTTGCTGCTCAGGTTGGGGGGTGGCAGGCATGGCATTTCCCCCACTCTGTTTTGATTTGGCAGTGCTGGGGTTGATTAGGCTGCTGGTGCAAGGCAGAGGGGGCAGAAGGGTTTGCCCCAATGTGTGACAGACAATTGCAGCTCCTTGTGGAGTGAGATAACCTGGAACATGTCCCCAAACCCTTGTGGCAGCAGAATCCTCCCAACAGCTTCCACAACCTTCAGCTGGAGCCCTCCTGGCTCCTGTGCCCTCCTAGAGCCACATTACCCCCATTCCTTGGGTCCCTAAACTGGGCCTTACTGGCCCCACACCCTCCAGTACTCCTGAAATAGTTTTCCAAGATGAAGGCAAAGAAAGAAAACCAGCAGAGGAAAGACATTATGGTCTTACCACCAAAACTGCCCTCAGAGAAGCAAATGGAGTTGGCAATTTTCTGCACAGATGGAGAGCTGTATCTGAAAGCATTACATCCTCTATTTATGATGGGGATTTTTTTGCAAGGCATTATTAGAAGGAAGCTTGTCAGCTCTGCTGAGAAACTTGGCAAACACCAGGGCAGACCAGTCTCACTCTTTCACACAGCTGGATTTTCTGCAGCTCAAGTATTTTTCCCTCTTGCTCTTGGCCCATCCAAAGATGAGTGCTGAATTTCCCTTAGCATTACCCACAGGTTAATTTGTTATTAAGTTTAGGCTCAGTTTAACATCTTGGCGTGCAATCTAAATAAAACCAAAACCAAATGTCCTTCATTTCTGCTGAAACCACCCTCGGTTTGGCTCAGCTGCCTTTGGTGTCACTGGAGGGTGAACAGGAGATTCATTTTTGGTAGGTAACCTAAATATCCTCCATGCAACTTTGAAATACATTGCCATAAAGTAATTATTTGTCATGGAATGAGATTGGCCAGAACCTGAACACGCTCCATTGGCTCTGACTTAGCTGTGAAATACTTCTTACTGCAGGAAGGGAAGATACACCAGACCCATGAGCTGTAGGAAGGGTGCAGAAAAACCTCAGGCACAACTTCTTACTGCAGGAACAAAGCTGGGATTTCCCACCTTACATCCAGAGAGGCTGAAGGAAGGAGTGCTTGAAAACCCCTCAGGCACAGTCCTGCCCCCTGTTTAACTTTGTTCCTGGCCTAATTCTGTACCTTCCACAGCATAACTGTGACACTGCAACCAGAGGGATGGCAATGGAAAGGGGAAAAGCTCATCAGTGTTATGAGTAAGAGCAGTGACACTGGGCCTGGAGAGCAGGGAACGTGGAGCTGACCTTTGGTTAACTCATTGTCTGCACTAAGAGCATGCAGCTGACTCTTCCAGTCAATTCTGTTTTCTTCTGCCCATGGGATATTTATAAGCAGCTTTAAAGAGTCTCCAAAGTCACCTGCAGAAAGTACCCTGTAATCTCATTCTGCAAATTGCTGTCTGACTAGGACTTGTCATGTTCTTTCCTGCTTTTTCCAGTGTGTTCAAAGTGTCTTACTAAGGTGTGATTGAGCTGATAAATCAAGTTATAAGAATTCTTTCTGTTGATCAAATAATTCTGCTTAAGGGCATTTCCAAAATACTGATGTTTACCATTTCAGTCACAGCAGATTACTTCACATGCAGAGATGAAACCATTACCAAACTATTTAACTATTAAAGTCCTTGACACAGACACCTGAACTTCAGAAAAAACTTAGCAAGTTCAAAGATTTTGAGGCTCATGTTGGTTTTGTGGACCTACTCTACACAGTAAAGAAAATCAGAATTTGTCTCTATTACTGTCAATCATTTAAGAGATTGAAGCCTCTTTGTGCTACTCAGAATCTGAACAGAGAGCTGAAAACAGGGAAAGAACAGCTAGAAAGATTTCTGTGTGCTAAAATGGGTATTTACATAAGGCTCCTGAAAATTAGGTTATGTATCAATGTGCTACATTTATGAAATCATAACAAACACACCACTCTAGTAATTGCACTTGTCTGGCTTTAAATAAAAGTATCCTGCAGTGGCATAAGTGAAGAAGGAAACAGAAGGACAAGTCCTTACTTGTGCCCAAGTTCATGTGCAATTGTGAATGCCAGATTGAGACCGTTGTCTTCAGCAAGAACACATTTTCTCTTGGCACTGCAGACACCTCCTAGGTAAGCAATTCCTGCAACAGAAACACAGAGAATGTTCCCATCAGAACCAGTAAAACAGCTCATTCATTCAAAACATCCAGCAGTAACAACCAAAGTGATCAAAAATGCAACCAGAATGAAAAACATTAGAGCAGTTACCATACAAGATCATCTGAGCAGTTTCTTCCTCACCCTAGTGAAGAATCAGTGCAGAGTTTTGTCAGACAGGAAATAAGTAAAACACACTCACCTCCACTGCTTTTGTTGGAAAATATATTTCACTGTCTCAAAAATAATTTCACTGACCCAAAAATTCATCTAAACCTGTCTACTAATACCCTCTACTACAGCATTAGAAGGTGCAGTGAAGGAGCCTGAGCAAGCACTTAAATGGAGTTCTGATTTTCAGAATGAAGTCAGGGAGCAGGAATAAAACAATAAAGCAGAGACTCTGAAAAGATCTTACATTTTCCCTTATTTTCACACTAAAAAGAAAGCTAGAGTGTCAGAGCCAGGAGAGCTGGCAAAGTGCTGCTGGTGAGTCACAAAGCCAATGTAGGTGGCACAAGTCTCCTGTTACTGAGTGGAATTTAGGATTTGATCCATGCACAGTATTCTCCTGTTTGTGTGGGCACCACGAACGGTTTGAGGCTGAGGCCAAAAAGGAATTCAAAAGTTATGGCATGGAACCTCTGCTATGGAAAAACAATAGTCCTCATCTGCCCTTCCTGCAGCCAGAGTGGCCCCTGCTGAAAGTGCCACTGCACTTGGGAATGCTGTGCTGGCACCACAGGGTGTCCCAGTGGATATTTCTGCTTTTATCTGTATTTAACAGCACTCAAGGAATTTATTTCCTCACTGGCTCCATGGAGGGGTGCCTGGATGGAGCTGCCTTTAAGGAGCAGACCATGACCATGCAATGGAGTCATGATCTCTCCCTGTTTTCCTTTTTTTCTTCCCCTCTCAGAGTTGATAAAGCTGTGTTTATAAGAGTGCAAATGTAAAACTTTAGACCTGGAAGAAGTCCAGCTCTGTTTTTATGAGATTTGACAACAATAAGGATGTGGATATTAGTTGCCAGGAGTGTTCTGGATGGAATGAAGGGATGGGCTACAGCCTTTTACTTCAGCACTTGCAGAGAAGAGTGAAGGCAGAAATCAGGCACTAACACTTGCTTACTTTAAAAATGCTGACTGTGAAAGGGCAGATCCATACCACAAGCAAAAAAAAAAAAAAAAAAAAAAAAAAAAAAAAGAGAGATTTAATCTTTTAAATCAATGGCCTAAAAGGCTGGATTTCAGCACTTTTCTTGGGCTGACTTGCTTCTTACATGCACAATAGTCCAAAGGATGTCAAGGAATTGCTCAGGAAGGAAGAGACTTCTTTGGGAAAGATTTTTGAGATTGCAAGCTCAGTGCACACGCACCTGGTGGCCCAATGAATTTTCCCCTTTTTGATTAAAGGGAAGCCAAAACCAAACATTTGATTATTCTGCCTTTACCTTCCATTAACCTGTGCCAATATCTCTCTCAGCTGTGTCTGACAGATGAGGTTTTAACTGAGGAGCAACAATTGCATTTCAGGCACAGGGGTCAATCAGGCAAGCCAGTTTTGCTTGAATTTATCCATGCCAAGTTCCTTCTGAGAGATTTTATAAAATGAGGCTGGGTCCATGTTTGCCATCATGGAGATGGAAGGGAGCAACATTCCCATTTTTGGGAGGTGTGGTGCAGCAGAATCGTCTAGAATTCTGCCAATATATTAAAATATGTTAAATACCAATTAAAATGTCAAATACATTATCCCAAATAGTAATTCTTCTGAAGTCTTTGTTTAGTGGCTCTAATCCCCACTGAACCTGGCAATGCAGATCCACATTATTATTTTGGCTTTTGCTCTGTGCTAAAACCCTCATTATTCAAAGGTGGAAAAGTAATGATTAAGGACTTGTACATCCATCAGTGGTCAAAGAAGTAGTGACTGTGGCTCAGTTACAGACTCTTAGTCATCTATTTTTATTAGCTATTTTCAGTGCTTAATGTGAATCCTGTGTGGCCAGTTTATAATATCTGCAATGATCAATTAAAATGAGTTTATTATTACAGAAATGGACTGGGCAGAGAAACTCATAATCCTGGAAGAGCAGAAACCTTTGGAGTACATGGAATGAACTCAGTGAGAAGTCCAGCTCATGAACTGCTGAGTGCTTATTAATAAGAGTCATTCTGGAGCAGCAAGCCAGTTATAACAAATTGGTATCACATTTTAAGCCTGAAAAAGCTTGCCTTAAAAACGTTTTTGAAATCTATTTTTTCTATCAAAATATTTCCTAAGACTATAATTTTCCTTTGGACCAATACATTTTAGCATTAATTCCTCTCATCAGAATATCAACAGCAAATAAATTATTGATCTGCAAACATACTCCAGATCTTTAGTAAATCTAGCTGATCCATTAACATAAATGCAACTTTTTTGTAAGTCAGTACAGTGACCCACATAACTGATATGCAGAGAAAAACACACCTTTAACCAACAACAATAGTAGCACAATGCCTTGGTAGCTGCATTAACATGATTTATGTCTTCATTGGGATGAATGGAAACTGTTGTTTGCCTCTTAAATTTCCAGATTTTTATCTGAGCCTTTCAAGTCTGCAGAACTGGAATAAAAACTTCACAAATTCTGACATGTTTGTGAAAATCCTGGCGTGCCATGGTTCTACCAGGCTGGGAATAATACAAGAGGAAATGCTTTTATTTGGTAATTTTGCTTCTGGCCCTGTCTGTGAGACAGGTGGGTGCGTGTGAAAACAAAAAATAAGGAAGGAAGCTGAACTGGATTTCTGGGTTTTATTTTTTAACAAAACCCCACACTTCTCATGTGCCTCTGCAAATACACAGATAGTGACTTTCTTTGGGGGAAAAATGTCCTTATCTTTCAGATATGCTGTCAGCACTAATGACAAATCTATTTTTAATATACAAAAAAGGTCAAGCAGGAGCATCAGTGGAAGAGGGAAAGGAAAGCCAATTACTATTTTTACTATTACCAAGCACGACGGTTTTTTCCTTTCTCTCCTGAGAAATTACATAATTACAGGCCATAACTTCTGTGCTTGGGCTTGGACATGCAGAGCTATCTGCACTTCCACAGCAAAGCCTGGGACACAGGCAACTGTGTAAACTCACATTTCTCCAAAAACTTGTCATACATAAACAGTTTGCAGCTGTTGGCCTTCCTGCCAGCCAGTATCTCCAAGGGGAATGATCCCATCTCTCCCCCCAGCCCAGCAAGGCATGAGCACATTACACACTTGCCACAGGGATGGCCAAAGCTGGGAGAAGACAAGTCCTGGTGTGTGGGTTCCCATTTTGCCCTGCTCCAAACACCTGGGGCTCCCTCCTCATGGCTCTGGAGTATTCACTCAGCAAGTGGCTTGTCCAGGTACTCCAGCTTTCAACTCTCTAATGTCTTGTTTTCATTGCACTCCTAATACTTTAATCTCTTCTTTTGCCAGCCACCTCTGGACACAGAACTTTTACTTGATTAAAACTTGGCTGGCTCTCCTCCTGCTCAATGTATTTGCTGTTGGGAAGGGAGCCAAACTCCCAGTCCTGAAGTCTGCTTGGCACAGACAGAGACTCCCTGCACATCCACATGCTCAGAGCAAGGCTCCCATTCCCCATCATTACTAGTTTGGTGTTGAGCTGATGTTTTTCTCATCCTCCCATGATTTTCAATTTGTGCAGCTCACACATTGCCATCAATTACATTCCTGTAGCCTCTCTTAACATCCTACACGAGTAAAATCAGGAAACCCTGAAGTGATTCATGCTCTGCCTTTCCATTCAATGGCAATGATATGTTTGACAGAGATGCCCTGCCTGTATTTACACATCAAGCCAGTCACCAAGGGAATCTTCCAGTGCTTGTGATACTTAAAATGAAAAATACTTCTCCCTTTCTATACAGCCTACATAGAAAAGGTTCCAAAGTTTAAGAAACATTAAAGAAGAAACCCACTAAACTGCCTCCAAGATAGGTACTAACACTGTTCTACAGCTGAATAAACACAGGTCTCAAGAGCCAGCAGTATCCAGGTGAAAAAGAACTGTATCCATGGAAGGGCCCACTCCAGCACATACAACACAGACAGGCTGAGGCTGTCACCACTGAGCCTGCAGGCCAAGTCTGGTTTATAGGGATCATCCAGAAAAGTGAACAGGGTGAGCTGTTCCTTCATTTTATGAGAATGTTCTGATTCAAAGCTGGACATGCAATCTTAGTGGCACTGATTAATTTGGCTTAATGCTGGATAGTCCTCCAAGATGCCAATTTCTGTTAATCTTGCAGTAACAACATGGTTTCCATTAGAGTTTAATATTCATATATGGAAACTGTTTCCCTTAGCAATAATTTTCATTGTTACAGCACTTAACAAAAACCACACTGAAAACAACACACTCACCATGAACCACAATTACAGAAATTACAGTGCAACCAACCAGTGCATGAGACACAGCTACAGACAGGTAAGAAAACAAGTTAATAATCACACCAGTGCAAGTCCTTATAGAGGAAGAGCTTCTGATGTCATGGACCAGCTGATGGAAGCCACCAGGACTCCGGAGAATCCTGACCACCAGATCCTGACTTTCTGTACCTGGGCAACTTTTTGAAAATGTGCCCATCAGCACAGAATCCTCTTCTCCCTGTGGAGAATACAGCCTGTCCTGAATTTCATCATGACCCCTATAAAAACTCTGTTCACTATGACCTGCAGGGATGCAGCACAACTTTCCCAGAACTCAGACAGCTGCTCTGTAGTGCCCAATAAAATAACTTCTTCTGAAAACACTGTCATTTCCAGTGTACACAACTGCTGTCAGAATCCCAAAAGCCCAGCAAGAAAAATAAACAGCTGAAACACAAAGTGTAGGTACTTTCTGAACCTCCTGATTTTCATTACACTCACCCTGAAGGACTAACAGATCAAATCTTTCCCTGATATTCACAGTGCCAGCTGAT